TATCAAATTTGCACTCGTTTTGCGTGAGAAATTTATATTCTAAAATGGGTATATAAAGTAATAAAATAATTTATTCCCGTCATACACATCAGTGTAACTTCAAGTAGGAAAGGTTGTTTGTACTTGTTATTTCCACGAATAGAGTTGAAATGTCTTACTTCAACTGTACCAAACGCGATTTCATGATTCTCTATATCGAGGGCGGCAGGACCATAGAATCACTATCCAATACTTTAGCAGAAAAAATTAATATTTCTAAAGTGAACTTGTGCTTCGTAATTAGTGACATACAAAGGCATATTCTTCCTACACTTAACAAGCGCTGGGCGCTGGCATTTCGAAAAATGGAAACATTTTTAGAGAAGAATAGTATTTGGTTGGACTCAGGGTATTCGTTAAATTTACCGGACTCTGAAGAATATTCTACGCCATCAACATCTGGCCAACGAGGACGAGCATGTGTTGCTTATGGAGACTCCTCAGACACTACCAAAAAGAAGAAAAACACTCTTTTACTTCAAAAATATGGCTTGGAGCATATAGGTAACTCCTATGTGCAGGGACTACGGGCGTTGGGTGAGTACGAAGAAGCTTATCTTGTTGAAGAGTTAAGAAATGCAAAGAGTCAAAAGAAATCAGATATTACAACTAAGTGGAAAGACTTAGACCAGATGAAGACTCTTTCTGACTCGGAAGCATTGAGTGCTTTTATAGATTTGGATTTAACAAAAGCACAATGAACCTTACTTAATGAACGAAAGTGTTGTATATTACCGCCATACTACAAAATACAATAAATAAAAAAATCTTGTTATCCACCATCTTCTTCAATCGAAATTACAAATACTTATGCTAAAGTGTTTAGATTTATTAGACCACACTGTTGCTAGAATATTAAAAATAGATTGTGTTTACAAAAATAAGTACAGTTCATTAATCCTCTACTCTAAATGGGGATGTGATGGTTCATCGGGCCAAAGTGAATTCAACACTCCAAAAATTCCTCCGAACTACCACGGACACCGAGTGACCGGACATCACAACAGTACGTGAGAGTCCTCAAGAAAATAGAACATAATGTGACAAGAAGCGGCAACACACACGGCGGACTTTAGTCCGCGGTGCGCGCTCGATAGTGATGTACGTGGTAAAGAAGTGAAAAAAAAGTACCCTTTATATGGCACATCAAAAAAAATAGTATCACGACCGAAAGGACACTGGTAAAATATTTGTTGAAGGAATTCTTCAGCGTCTATTATAGATTTCATCATCAGAAATGCAAATAAAATAATCTTAACGTTTATCAAATAATTGATGAGGTTTGTCTAAGTGTGGAATTAAAAACTTAAATTATATGGAAACAACCTCAAGTGAAAGAAAACATACGAACAACATATTATTGTTCGCGTGTTATAGTGAAAGCATAATAAATAATCTCAACAATACAAATAAATAATCAGTCCGATATAATGGGATGGACACAGTGTTCTCTTTTATAATGTCTTCTGTTTTTCTTAAACTTCATGTTTATAACAATACAACTATCTCAAAATATTGCTTCCATAGCGTGCGCCTCGCTAAATTTTGGTGTGACAAATGTTCGCACACTGTCAATTTTTTCATAATACGGAGACAAAAGTCCGTCATCTGCGCATGCTATAACGCATGCAATTGGAATTGCAAAAAAGTTTTATTTGGAACATGTGTTTACGTAGATGAAATTTGTAATCCAAAGTAAAACTAAACATTGATGTGAAACTCACTCTGTCTACCAATCTATCTGTTTGTTTGTTATGCTATCACGCCTAATAAACCGCTGAACCGATTTTGATATTCCTCTGCATATGGCCCTTTAGCTTCGGAATATGATATCAGCATTTTTTTGGCGAAATAACAACTTGAACAATAGAAAAGATAGTATAAGAAATATAATATTCTATTGAAATGAAGTCTACGGGCAGCTACTGAATTGAATTTTGAAATTTCTTTTTTTCATAATTTTACATAATGTTTTAATACAGTTGACATTATAGCATGTAGGTAATCGCTATCAATAGCCTATTCTAGGCGTCTTTTCACAACATTTTCCTACCTAGAAAACACTGCAATTACACTCTGGAATCATGTGAAATTACTAATTTGCGAGGAAACATAATATTGTAAAGAAAATTTTACTAAAAAAAATCCAATCGGTCTAAGTTTCAGAAGGGATTCGAACCTGCATCTTCCACTATCCCTACGGATGGTTTTAGTTGGATAGAGAACATTTTCTTTAGATTTATACATATAGTAGTTAAATGATTAACGAAAACATATTATTCTATTTGAGGAGTTGGCGAACAAAACGGTCTAATTACGCATCTGGTCAAACTACTTTTTTTTTACAGTCCGGAGATTTCGGACCCGTTGAATTTGAATCACAAATAATTTTCAATCAAAACCGCCTAAAACAGTGTTAAAATTACTAAATTTATAAATTAAAAAACATGCCAAAAGCTCACTGGAAGTATGTCATTCAGTTTTATACAGCTCCGGTAATTTTTATTTAATTATACCATTTTGTTTGCCAGCTTCTCATTTTATATTGGAACGCGGCACTAGCACTTGCTTAGCATTGAGACAACCACTAGTGATTTATAATATAGAAGGGTTATTGCAAAGGTAGCTTTTCTTCCTTCTTCCTTCGTGTGCTCTTCGTAAATAATGTATGAAACTCTTTTCATATCGTAATCTAAAGTTTTAGATTACGATATGAAATAGACACATACATAATGTGCCATAATCATAATAAGTATGGAAAGTACATAGTTAAATTGTATGCAATTACATGTGCTCTCAATTAATAATATGTATTCCAATTCTGATTCACACTATGTAAGACCAGCCTAAAACAAGTTAGGTACTAGTTCTTGATCAATGTGGCTTGAAAACTATTAAATAAGAGGCAGTGTGTCTCCAAAATATTAAGAAAGTCTACCGTTGCCCTTAGTAGAATGACTTGTAATACTGCCGATGTTGTAGCCTTTATTTCTTGGAATAGTAAAACAATTTTTAAAGAAATGTTAAATATTGAAGATTTTTAAATAAATTTACATAAAGATTAGAATGTGCATCGCCCAAACACTGCTTAGTTTCCGACTTTAGGTCCACTTGCAATGAATTTGCTAACTCGGTTCAACTAAAACTAGAATAAGGCCATACAATATTGTCAAATTCACATTTTGACATTTTTATATGGGATATATCTAGTTTTAGCTGAATCGAGATGTAGTAAATTTGCTGCAAGTGAGCCTAAATAATTTAAGAATGCGTTTATTATTTACCAGCAGTTTCCTGTGGCTTCGTAGGTATACATGACCTTTTTATTGGTATTTTTATATACATTCATTATCGCACATGTTATCCCCTTGAAGTTTTGTTTCAGCAACATAAATCCTATGTTAGTAACAAAGGTTCAATTTATCTTCACGCCAAATTTCATCGTAAGTTTAGGCATGAATATATAACAAACAGACAGTTTTTTTTCTAGTATACTTTTTTTTATACAGCAGTCACTAAATATTTTTGTATTTTGGTACGAATCTTTAATAACTGTCCACAGATGAATTCGTTTACCGACTAAGTACCTACCTAAGTCATAACAGGATTTTTACTATTTTGTAAATAAGTATTGATAATGTTACCAATATAAAATTTAGCTAAGTTCATACCTACTTTTTAGTAGAAATATGTTTTTTAACATGTAGAAAATAAAAACCCTACGAACAAGTATAAGAAAATTAATGCCATAGTCCTGCAATTTACAAAATTTATGTAATTACTTATAAAACAAGTTTAAATATTCGATTAACATAAGAATTGCGGTGCGTTTAAGTCTAACTTAAACAGTTTTCAAGATAATACAAGTAAAGAATCCTTTAAAACATAGTGCAAGTTCAAATTTCCCGAAAGAAAGAGTTTTATGGTAACTGATAAAGAAAAATAACAATTAACAAATTCATTAACTCGTAGTTATCAAATAAGCTACAAAATCTCACAACGGACTTGAATATTAGTTTTTGTTTTTAGATCAAAATAAAAAAAAAGTAAATTCTATACGTGTAAAAGTTGGGTAAGAGCTTTGAAATTGCATATCCGACAAAAATCAAGACAGTATAATATCAATTAATTTTAGTTGTGGTAACACAATCGGTAAAGTTCGGTAATGAAAGTGGTGTTGTGATTGAGAATTATAATAATAGTCTATACTATACTTTGAGTTGTTTCGTTTAAACTCTTGCATTCAATTTTATTTTTCGATATTCTTTGTTCAACGCAAGTCATTTTGAAACTCCTTTTTGAACCAAACAATTTCGGCTAAAATACAATTTTAAAAAGTGCTAATCTATGTTCAACAAACCAATGAAACTAATAAGACACTTCGCACCCGCATCCTAACGCCTACAACTAGCGACCTCTATTATCGAGTAGCGGAACTTGTAAAAAATCTCAAGGTTTCCCGGATAAGTCACTGAAAAGCTTTTTTAAGCAAGAATTTGTTTGTGCAGAACAATTAAATTGTTAAATAAAGTAATATTTGGCTTATTCATTTTGAACTAATAAAATACATAACTAGTATACCTCATCCTTATAACAAAAAGGAGAGTTATACTTTAATTCATCTTACTACTTAACTACATTTACCTAAAATAACATTTTGGGATAAGAAAACAAAATTATTCCTACAATTCATAATATAATACAAAAGATTGCATACGTGCAGAATTTTCTATGACATTGTTTTCTCAAACGCGGAACGGGGGCGAATGACTTGATTGCCATAATATTCAATTCAAAATGTATTTTTCTAATAATAGCTAAGTTTAGGTACACTTTACAATAAAAGTAGGTATACTTATAGTGAATGGGTAATTGATTAAAAAAAATATTAGATCCTTAGAACACATAACTTTTCGTCTATAAAAAAATGACGAAATTAACAATCGGTTTTATTGTTCCAGGTGAAAGCTCCGGATCGTGCTCTGAAGAAGAAATAAACAATGTATCGGACGAAGTTAGAGAGAGGCCAGAGGCCCATATGTGCCCGCGTTGCCAAGAGCAATTCGAGAGCCTACACGAATTTCTTTATCACAAGCGACTCTGTGATGAAAAAGCGCTGCAAATGGGAGAGGAAAGAATGCACTCCGACCCTGAGGAGATGGTCGTCTCCGGAGACGAGGAGATGGATGGCCCTAATAAAAGACTAGAGCAGGTTAGGCGGCATAGACAAGATGCCGAAAATAATAACAGCCTCGAAGATGGCGAGGCAGAAGTACCCGAAGCGGACGTACCGCCAGTAGGACTACCTTTTCCTGTCGCCGGCCATGTCACGCTGGAGGCATTACAGAACACGAAAGTAGCCGTAGCCCAATTCGCCGCAACTGCAATGGCAAATAACGCTGACAACGAAGCGGCTTTACATGAACTTGCCGTATTACAAAGCACACTCTTCACGCTGCAACATCAACAAGTATTCCAACTGCAACTGATACGACAACTGCAGAATCAACTGTCGTTAACGAGACGGAAAAGCGATCATAACCCGAGTCCTCCGCCGAGTGAACCGGAGGCCAACATGCCAGCGCCCACCGCTCGATCACCGTCGCCGCCTCGTCCGCCACGGGAGCCAACTCCTGCTGCACCCACTCCCCCCACTAGCCAAAGCTTGCCTTCGACCCATGCGCATCTTAAAACGGAACCCATTTCTGTCCCTAAGCCTCCAACATCATCCCCACCAATGATGACACACCCACTCTACAGCTCTATATCGTCATCATTAGCGTCCTCGATCATTACGAATAACGATCCGCCGCCGTCCCTCAACGAACCTAATACGCTTGAAATGCTGCAAAAACGCGCACAAGAAGTGCTAGATAATGCATCACAAGGTCTGTTAGCAAATAATCTTGCCGATGAATTAGCTTTTCGTAAATCTGGAAAGATGTCTCCCTATGACGGGAAATCTGGAGGACGGAACGAGCCTTTCTTCAAACATCGCTGTCGATATTGTGGAAAAGTTTTTGGAAGCGACTCAGCATTACAAATTCACATCCGATCTCATACAGGCGAACGACCTTTTAAATGTAACGTGTGTGGATCTCGGTTTACGACCAAAGGAAACCTAAAAGTACATTTCCAAAGACACACTGCTAAATTCCCACATGTAAAGATGAATCCCAATCCGGTGCCAGAACACTTAGACAAGTATCATCCACCATTATTAGCGCAGCTATCACCGGGGCCGATTCCTGGGATGCCACCCCATCCACTACAGTTCACACCAGGTGGGCCGGCTCCTTTCCCGCCGAGCTTGCCACTGTACAGGCCACCACATCACGATTTATTACCACCTCGTCCTCTGGGAGACAAACCACTTCCACCTCATCCACTTTTCGGTATGCGAGAAGAACAAGATGCTCCGGCTGATCTCAGTAAACCCTCCGCGCCGAGCCCTTCCCGATCTGCACCTGAAGTTAAGTCTGAACCACAAGATGAAGAAAGTCATCGAGAATCGAGTTTTGAAGAACCTGACCGTGTATCGCCCAAACGGGAACCAGATGAAAACGAGACTGCACATGATAACGAACAAGACAGATATCCATCTACATCACCATACGATGACTGCAGCATGGACTCGAAATACAGCAATGAAGATCAAATTGGAAGAGATAGTCCACACATGAAGCCCGATCCAGACCAACCGGAAAATCTCTCAAGTAAGAATTCACCGATATCCGGGCCAATTTCAATAGCAACGGGACTTCGTACCTTTCCTTCATTTCCCTTGTTTCCCCAATCTCCACCTAGCAGTATGTCCTCTGGTAGTATAACTCCATTCAATATTTCCCATAATGTTGTTGACGCTGACTTATCGCGGGACCCCGTGTTTTATAATTCTCTGTTACCACGCCCAGGTAGTAATGATAATTCTTGGGAAAGTTTGATAGAAATAACTAAAACATCTGAGACATCTAAATTACAACAATTAGTAGACAATATTGATAACAAGCTTACTGATCCTAATGAATGTATTGTATGTCATCGCGTTCTTTCTTGTAAAAGTGCTTTGCAAATGCATTATCGAACACATACTGGTGAAAGACCTTTTCGATGCAAATTGTGTGGTCGAGCATTTACGACTAAAGGCAATTTAAAAACGCATATGGGCGTCCATCGCATTAAACCTCCAACTCAAATGTTGCACCAATGCCCGGTATGCCATAAGAAATTCACAGATCCAACAATTTTACATCAACATATCAGACTGCACACGGGTGAACGTGTCAACATGGCTTTTGATTCAGTTCATAGTATAAATTTTAACGGTTTTCCATTATCGAACAGCGGGTCAGACGTCAATGTCTATCCTTACCGACCCGTACCTCCTCCTCTGTTCCCCACTCCGTCCACTCCCGGCGACCGACGGGCGGACTCCCGCGGGACCGACGATGAGAGCGGCCGGGACGAGCGTGAGCCCGCTATTCGGGAGTTCGACGACGACTCTGATATGAAAGATCGTCGAACTTCGCCGCTCTCCGTCTGCGCCTCGGCGTCCGAATGTGAAGTAAAAACCATCACCACAACGGCTTCCCTCCCATCGGCGACAGGTTCGGAGAGCGGGCGGAGCGCGCGGGCCTCGCCGCCGTCGCCGACGATGTCGACGCTGTCGACGCCGCCGCGGCCGCCGCCGCACTCGCCGCAGCTGTCACCGCCCGCACCGCTCGCCGCGCTCGGCGCTCTCGGCGGATCACCCTTCAGCCCGCTCGGACTCGCGTTCCCTCCCGCAGGTATGCGATAGCGGGATCTTATAATTTTGTCCGCCCTGGTCGCCCAATTTCCATTCCCTTACATTCAACTCGATATCCCACTAATATTATCTTTATTACCCGGGCGCTCGAATACACCTTGAAGTGATCACGAAGAAACTGTTTAGTTTGAAAAGTTTCAAAGTCTTATTACAGTGTAATCGTGCGTTCCGACTTTGCAATTAGTGACATTGAGTTAGTATTGAACGGTGGATTTATTTGTGTACAGTGCGTGGCAACACAACGTGTAACATCTGCTACAAGACATTCGCCTGCAACTCGGCGCTCGAGATTCATTACCGCAGCCACACCAAGGAACGACCTTTTAAGTGCTCCGTCTGCGATCGCGGTTTTTCTACAAAGGTTTGCTGCATTCCGTTCTAGTTTACAACCTTAGAAATGCTCGTATAGAATTCTGTTAATCTTCGATAGCCTTTTAACCAGAGTAGGTATATAAAATAATCAGAGATGACAACGCTACTGAAATGATAATCATGTAAAAGTCGCGTATATCGAGTGTCTTTGGCTTACGGCCAGTTCATACTTTATTGTCACACAAATAGCAAAGCGAGCGTGTTTACGATATGTCTATTAATTTTCATTTTAACTGCAAGAAAGATTACCTACATTAAAAAATTGTTAGGAGCATAAGGAAGAGTACTTGAGAAATATAAAAATATAAATAGAATATATGACCCCTAATTTAATTTTAATTAAAATAGCCACAAATGTAAAATGAACAGCAAGTGTGACTCGATGCATCGAACAAGGGAAATTTACTATACTTACGACCAAACTTGTTTACTTCGCTTTAAACTTCGCTCGCTGGTGTCATTTCATCCAAGTTTCGATGCATTAATTTTGCAGGCGGTAATTACAAGTCTACTGGACTCTAGTTCCATTAATTGGCCGTTGTTGGCGCATCTGAGCTTCTTAGACTGTAATTGACAGCCGAACCGACTAACTTAGTTGGCGTATGTAGGCTCGTTTGCTTCACTTTAATCAAAATTGTGCGGTTGTTGCGCTAACCTTGTTGAACTTACTGAAGAAACTTAATGTAGGAAGATAATAACCGATTAGGTGAACGAATCGTCACAGTTTTGATATGCAACGGAGAGCAATATAGCTACAACAGTAATACATAATACACTTTTCAAGTGTTGCGTTTTTTCTACACTAAAGGATTATTCATTACCTTTTTACAAGACTTTGATTTGTGTAACCCGAATAAAAACGATATCTAAATATTATGTTAATTCTACACTAAATCATAATTATAGTTATAAACTAAAAAGTAGAAAGCTTTACGTCCGTACTTACGTATAAAAGATACATAAAAATGAGCAAAATATACGTATTTGTTTCTTAGGTTTTCACGCACATCACTCATTAAATAAAACTAGTTTTTACGGGTTAATGCACGAAACTTTATTTATTTATTGACGTTTCGCAGCCTTTTCAGGTCTGCATCGTCAGAATAATGAAACGTCAATAAATAAATAAAGTTTCGTGCATTAACCCGTAAAAACTAGTTTTATAAAATATACGTAAATAAAATGTTATATTTAGAAAATCTCCTTTAAAATGCCGATATTAAAAGTTTACGATGGAACCGTATCGAGACTTTCGGACTAGGAAAGAAACATGATAAAAAACTACCAATCTACGTCAAAATTTAGTAACGAGACATTTACAATAACATAAAAATTGAGAAAGTACCATAGAATGCGTGCGCGCCGCCGCGCCGCTCGCGCTCCCTTATCATTGCGGGACACGATGCTTCATTCTATAACAATCCATAATTTTATTTATTGCATATTGTTATTGCCATAAACAACCTTTTTTTAGTTACAAAATTTATTAAATAGTAACTTTTTAAGGTTTATGGTTGTTCGGATTAGGATAAATAGAATGAAATATTATAAATAAATACCAACTGCTCGTAGATATGTTGTTTTTATATTGGTTTGATGTTCTTAGGTATCGAAAATTGCACATTTTGACCCGCATATTCTTTTTCCATATTATTTTTATTCAGTTATTTCACAATTTGTCCCTTAACTAAGTTATTCTTATTCATATTTTAACATGTTTAATAATATACTGTTCGTGCTCGATTTCACAATGTGCCGAAATTCGATTATTGCCTAGGTAGGAGTGAGGCCTAAAAATACTTTCAGAAAAAATGTCAGCAGGTACTTGGATAGTCGAATAATTCATAAAATTCCGCTCAAAAAACTCCAATTGCACTAAATTAACCATTAACTGAACTTTAAATTCGTATGGCAATGACACGTTTTTGTAAAAATAATTACAGCGCATTTAAAACCATTATATTAGTAGTGGGTTTTAATTCAATATATTAAAATAATAAATACAACTTGTTAAAAGCATTTTTATGGCGTTTCGAGTTTTATAAACAGTTCGGCCAATATTTCATTAAATGCGTGTACGGTGCGCCCGCGTCGCTCAGTCGCAGTCCGTCGAGTCACAGGCCACAGAAATGATAAGTCATAAAAATAACGTCACGGAAAACGATCGGAATATTAATTGATGTCGTAAAATATTTATTGCATATAAATCCTTGAGCCTTTACCTACGGTCCCCGTCATAAAAAGATTATTTATGTTCGACAATGTAAAATTTTTCGTATATGTTTCGGAAAGTGTCCCGAGCACTCTATAAATTGTAAATTGTTTACGACGGCGCCGCTTTTAATACAAACCGCCATGCCATTACTAATAAAATGTGTTTTGAGTTCTCTGATAAATGTTTAATAACTATGAGTCTACTTACGACGACAACGACGTGACCTAAAACCCCAGATATATAGAGATGCATCGATTGGCAAACGTACATGTGTGTATAAGTATCCACCATTAATAAATGCTGGCCACACCGTGCTCACCTACATAAAACATTGGAAATTGCAATACGAGAGAAAGCAGGTACTAACGTTTTATGTCTCCTTTGAATATTACTTTTTACTATAATAATGTAACCACAGGCATCTTGTTTGTAGAAAAACCCAAGTACATTTTTTTCTAGTAATATTGTCTTTCGATATAAACATCGAGCAGTTACATGCTTAAAAAATAAAAATTATAACTACAAATTTATTTGATTTTATAAAATGAACGCCGATTACATATTATATATTCAGGTAAACGGAATGCGTGTGCATTGATAATGATCCTGGGTCACTTAAATATCAAAATGTCAATTTTTGCTTTCATAAAATTCAAAATTTATATGAAACACTTTAATATTTAGCGGGTTTTGTTCCTTCAAATTAACGATGACTATAAATTGTGCTTTTTTTATTTTATTGGACACTTTTCGATGTTACAAGTTTTTAGCCAGCAATAATGATGTTGAATATCAAACTGGAAATTATGACGTTACTGATAAGTAGGTATTTATATTGATAATTTTTAAATGTAATAAAAATACTTACTTTTTAATTGTTGTAATTGAACTATCACTAAAAGAAACCTATTCTGTTACCATCTTTGAAGGTAAAGGATTATTCATAACACCTTGAAAAGTTTCCTTTAGTTATATGTATAGAGAATCCTAAAGTATTCGTAGAAATTAATAAGAAGAAATAAAGAAATACTTCAATTATTGCCAAAAGAAGGAAAACGAATAATATTCAAACGCCATTTTAATCTGAATTAGGTAAACCAACATTTCCTTCCGTACTTTGTGGACAAAAAGAAACGGCAACAAAATTAAAATTTCATTACGCTAGTCCTGGCAACCCTGTAGTGTTATATGGCAACACAAAACTGAATAACTAAACCCTTATCCGCACAACACTAAACACATTTAAAATTACAATAAGTGTCGTCGACACCCGTAGGTACCCAGACGAAAGTTCACGCGCCAAACAGTTTTATCGCTTATTCCGATCTTGTATTAAACTACGAGTATGCCTTTAATATTATTAACTTGGTGAATATGAAAATAAGATAGGTAGAAGGTATACATATATTTTTTAACCATAAAGCTTATCGACGTTGAAAAAATCCATATTCCTATTGATATTTACTTAGGTATATTATATTTACTTTTTTAATTTATGAAAGTATTATCAAACTACTATTACTTAACTATTCGTAGCCAAACTCTTTCTCTCTCTCTCCCTCTTCAGTCTTTTTAATCTAAGTTTTAAAACTAATACCTAATATAGAAGGTAGTGAATTAATGCATAACACAAACAGTCCACCCTTGGATTACATGACTATAACCTTATTTGCAAAGCCACATTTTCCTTAATAAATAATTGAGAGAAGAAATAAAATGTACATTTTTAAAAATCTTTCATAGACCTTGTTCTACAATTTACAACACAAAAAAATGGAAATCAGGTTAATCGGTAGGGGTGTTGCCATGTTCGTCATATACATGTGGCAAATTCGAAATTAAGTATTGTGTTCAGAAAATATTTAAAAAAATACATAAATATTTCATCGTTCTTTTTTAATTAACTACGCTAATGGGAACAGTCAATAGGCCACTTGCATCTACAATGGTCTTTCTTTTTATAAAGAACAAATTCACGCAATGACGAAGTTGACGGTATGTCAACTTTGCTGGCGAACTAATACGAACAATAAAAACACATAGACATGCTGGATAAAAAATGGACAATCATAGTAGTGATGATGCAAAAGAAATATAAATGTTGATTGGTTAACCTTGACATTGATGACTTGGTCTGATTCTAGTAATTAGACATTTTTGAAAACTTTGAAACCTTGCTAAAAAATAATATGTAAGTTAGTTTAGACAAAGTAGAGGGCAGTTCGATACATTTGTAACATCGAAACTAGCACAAAATATCCTACTCCATAATTTTTTACACTTTTTTCATCATTTACGATTTTTTTTAAATGTTATAAGTTTATTACTGTAACTATTTTTGATATTCTCAAAATAATACGTCAGCTAACTATTAGGTATAGGTACAACATATAACCTCTTTAAACAAAAACCCTTTAAGTTAAGCAATGACAAACAAAAAATAACAGTGGATATAAGTACAACCACGGCTTTATATTTTTAGAATACTTCTATGTTTTATAAGAAAAGTAAAGATGTTACTAGAACTCGTTTTTTAACGTGACAAATGACTGTCGGAAGGTCACACCCGATGAAGATCTAAAATATGACAAACAGTTTATCTACGCAAATAGGTGCCTAATTAAATAAATATTACGGCATTTTAATAACACGTCTGCTTCTGTGTTTAAAATAAAAATGTTAACGGCGCATATGAATTACCTACTTAAGTTTGTTAAATATAAGGCGAATACTATAGCCACAAGTATAGCTATGGTTGTGACTTTTATGTTGTGTTATCGTGTTTAGGTGTTAATTTAAAAATTGGTTCTGTAGAGAATAAAACATAAGTATTTTAAATTATTACTTAAAGTAGCCTTTAAATTCGAATAACGTACCAACTTGTCCCTCAATTATGGCAAGTTTGGGACAACTTATTAGTTGACCTACCAACTGAAAAACTATGAGGTATTTTCATTCTGCAAGCCTTCCCATTTACTTTTTGCGTATAACTTGAATTAAACCTTTTCTACGTTGAGAACAGCAAAATAAAAGATGATTTTACAAATAACGGATCGATAGAGGAGACGTATAGTTCACCCATTTATATTTTTATTTCATCTTATAGAACGGAACGAAAAAAAGTTCCGTATAGTTCTTCGGTCGACTTTGGTACAACTAATGTATATGGAATATGATATTTTCCATTATGAATTTTACTAAATACTTATAATCACAGAACAATATACTTACTACTACTACGAGAGCTTATAATACATAATATTCACTAAAATCACTTAACGTCAAGTGTGGTAGAGTCATTCACATTCAAAAATCCGGAAATAAATACTTACCTGCACGTTTTTATATATTTTTCTTATCCTCGAAATCCCAAGGGTAAATTCCCATCCAGCTGTAGGACAGCGGTTCCCTATGGTTTGAAATTTTAATAAAATACCCACACCTATACTTATAAAATAAATTTTCATGTTAAACATTAATAATTTTCAATATTAAAATTGCATAAATAATAAAATCCGCGTACAGCCAAGACCTGAACCTTGAACTTTGATGTTCTTCATCCTTGCTTGACTAATAGGTCATATAGAAATAGGTTAATAAGGTAAATAATTATAAAAATAAAAAGCTTTATTATTGGAAAAATATGAAAACAAAACTCCAAAAAAAGCTAAAAGTACAAGATTAAACAAAACCCGCGAAACCGCGAAAAAAATTACAAATTTTATTCAATTTGTTTTATTTGTCGTCATATTTAGGAGCATTAGAATTATAGGTACACATTCTGTGAAAATTTTGATAGTGCTTACCTTTGACGGTTCATGAGATAATTATTATGATAGACGTACGGACAACTTAGGCTCAAAAATAGAAAACAAACCAGTATTGCCATCAACAATAAATAACTACTTCTTTGTTCTAAAAAAAACATAGTTTCTGCATACCTGGTGTTCGCATATCATTTACAGGCAATTAGGTATTTTGTAAGGGACACCCACCATTAACCAGCCGAAAAAGAATAATTGCTATATTGAAATAATATCTAATTATAAATACCAATTCCATTTTAATAATAAAACATATTTATGCCTTTAGGACGTAAAAACATTAACGCAAGTAGGTAAAGCAATATTATTCAACCCTTCACAATCCATTTTAGTGGCAATGCGTATCATAGTCATGCGAAAGCTAGGGTGTACAACTTATAAAGAGAACAGGTTATCTATAAGATCAAAGACACTTTATTCGCACAGAAATAAGGTTTTCTTTCTGCATGTTTGTATTTTGTTGTGAACCCCTTTCGTGAGTTTTCCCCATTGTGTATGTTTGGGTTCTGCACCGCCGCAGGGTTGCCAGTTTTCAAAATTGCAGAAAACTAAGTTTTAAAAAGTTTCAATGTGTTGTTTCTTTTTGTTAAATTTGTATACTGTATACTTTTTTTTATTGGCAACTCTGTGGTTGTGTAACAGTGCGTGTATTTGTGGTTCCAGAGCAGTGGCGGCGGTTGCCGCTGCGGGAGGCGCGCGCGCGCACCCCGCCCTCCGCACGCCACTGCTTTGGATTTCTGGAACGCCTTCGTCTATCCGGTATGAACGGGCGACGCCTGAACGATATTACCTAATTAGCTAACTGTGCTTTTAGTTACCTAACCTAATTTGCATGCGTTCATTTCGTAAAGCACTAACTCGAAACATTTTGTTTTGCTTGAGTTTAATTAGTTACAATTTCGAATAATTAAATATTTCTTGAAAAGAATAGACAAAAACACTAATTCAAAACTGCGTTTAAACTTTTCAAAATTAGAATGTTGATTAAAGCTCTTTATTGGGTAGAAAAGAGACTTTAATGTGCGCATATTTGATATCGGAAAGTTTTATAAGACATATAACTAATATACTTACATTCATAAACCAATCATAAAAATGTAGGTAAAAAATAATCCACCTCATTAGGTACCCAGAAGTAATAAGCCATTTGTGGAATTAATTAAAAATTCGTCTTTAATTTTGTATTCGAACACTAGCTAAGTATACACACTAAATTAAACTATCAGAAATATTCTCAAAATTATGTAGGACTGAATTATACACAACGTATTCATTTATTTATAACTCATGTTAACATTGCCTAGTTTATTTTCCGTAATACCTATATCAATTCGATTATGAGGTTTTACGCTAAGATCTTAGTGTACCGCCTTCTTTATTTAATATACCTATGTAACGCTTAATTAAAACATAAGTACTATTTAACAAGTACACTGGCAGAATGATATGTAAGTAAACTAGCAAACATCAGCTTACCACCTATATATCTCTCGTAGGGTAACATGAAACAACACATGTTGACGCACAAGATCCGCGACATGCCCCCCGGATTCGACAAGGCCCCACCGACGCCCAACGATGAACCTCGAGAGCCGAGCCCCGACAGGCGATCCTCCCCCGACAAGATGGACCTCAAGAGATCGCCGCCAGTCCACACGCCGATGTCACATCAACCTTCGATAGATATGCCGCCAATGCCCAAACGACCGAGCGGTAAGACAATAATATAGACTTTTGAATTTGTAACAAAACACAATAGTTGTATATGAGACTACACGGTCACGAGGAATCCCGAGACTCGACTCTCGGGACAAGATGGACCGGAATGAATAAGGGTATAGATACGCCGCCAATTCCCAAGCGACTGAGCGGTAAGACCATAATGTTAGACTACAATTTACAAATTGTAAGAAATTAAAATAAGTCATTAAGTTTGTTGTTATATGCTGGTTACTATAACGCTACGGCCACACTTTTGCACTACCGCGAACATTTCCAGTTTTCACGACGTATCTAAACATGCAATAGTCACATTTTTGACCGTGTTTTAAATTTGTTTTGCTTGGTCCGACTTGTCGTGATAAACGGAAAATGTTCGCGATAGCGCGACAGTGCGGCCTTAGCATAAGACATCAATTTCAGTTTGCTTCATCCTCAACGGTGCTAATAATATCCATAACTATCCTGATCGTTCACCATAATGTGCGAAAATTATCGAACTTTGAACCCTTCTTTCAACCTTAACCAAGTTGAAAATAGATATGAAAATTTTGACAATTTCGTTAACCCTGAAGTGCAATTTAGTCACACATATGATGACCGGCCTTGGCGAAGACACTTTATCTTAGCAATCTCAGACACGGCACGTCGAAATCAATTTTTTTCTTAGATTAATTTTCTCGTCGTTTTATCCCTATTAATAGAAAAGTAAATAATGGTGTCAATTCTGGCATGATTCTCTAAACTTAAAACTAAATTTAATATCAGTCTCACCTTTTCATTTTGTATAGAGAAGGACAAGGATGCACTGTTGTCAAAGGAGATTGGTCAAATTGGCCTAAATGCAAATAAAATATTGACATATACAGTAATTCTTGGCGTAATTTATACTTTATTTTACAGTCATTAGATTTTAACGGCCACCTTTAAATAATATATTAATTTTAAAAAAGGACTTCTATTTTTACCGGTTTGGAAAACATGCGAATCATTTTTATTGGCTATGGGTGTAGTAACATTCACAAAGACTGATCGAGTTTGTTTATATAACATCAAAACAAATCTATTTTGTAAAGATTGATAAAATATATTTTTTTTTATTACACGGGTGGTATTAATATCCACAACTTTATTATCATTTTTACTACATGCAAATGTACTAAGACAATTAATATAGATGGTAGGCGACATCATAAAGTCTATTGCCGTACATTTTTTGCCAAACACCTAAATAAACACATTATAAGGTGTGATACACTAAAAATCTAAAATATGGTTATAAAAACATAACAAAAATAGGAAAGTTGCTGAAGATATGGCTGTATAACCTACAGCTCTTAGCTTTCTTTGATTAACGAGAGTTTAAAAATTCTCTCTAATCTGTGGCTCATTCACAATCATCACAGTTTCTGTTCGTGTTTTTAAAAACATGCACATATCTGTTATTTTACATGCTCTATATACCTGAATCTAATACATAATATCGGTAGGTACTTGGCTTGATTGCCCTATTTTCCTATATAAGTTATTTGGTTTTTATTATTCTAATACCTATGTGCCTATTTGAAAACATAACCTCAAAATCATTCAGTGTATATGGTTTATAGAAGTTCTCAGGAGTGGCCGTCGATAATATTCGTTTCTACGGTAATTTATATATAATTTCGAATGTAGGAAACAATTTTTCATGGTTATTGGTTTTTAGGCCAAACATGTATGGAAGCTGAGCAATCTCCTTTAAGTTTAGCTTTAGAGAATTATGCCAGAATCGACATTAGTGTCTTACTTTTACAGTTTGCAGTAGAATATCAATCCATTGATTAATCCAATATTCTTACTATTTGATTTCCCATTATCAGCTTCTCTGAATTGTCATAAAAAATCTCAATTTATACGCTTTACGTGTTATAAATTGGACAGTTGACACATTAACGATGTCGCTGTACGCAGAGTAGTCTATAAATTAAGCGCATGCATCGATAACATAGTCAGCTATGCCTACAACAACACAACTTTGTAAATCTGAATAAAATGTTGAAAATCTCCCCCTTAAGGAGTCCGCGGCTCCGTTACGCACTCCGCATAATAGCGATCCAGTATGAGAAGTATTCACAACAGCAAAAAATGTGTAGGTAACCATTTGCTTAACAAGCACGTAGAAGGCGGCTACCGTCTTACACCTCTAAATTTGCATGCCCCCAATACTTTTCCCTAAGTAAATATCACTTATGATGTAAACGCGGTGTGTCTCGAGCCTTCTATCGTTTAAAGGGAAATAAATGCTGGTTGTGACCGTTTTCATTTGCATAAACGACAGCGGGTTTGAAATTTTTCACATAATTACAACTTAATGGTAATGGCAACCCTAAACGAGTGATGAAGTTGTATTTTGTTTTTCTTTGCTGCAGTTCCGAGCGGCCCTACCCATCCGCCGCCGCCGACGTCATCGAAGCACCTGTGCGGTGTCTGTCGCAAAAACTTTTCGTCATCGTCTGCTCTACAGATTCATATGCGTACGCACACGGGAGACAAGCCGTTCCGTTGTGCAGTCTGCCAGAAGGCGTTCACCACTAAGGGGAACCTAAAGGTAAATATCTAAGAACTGTCTGCGTTCTTTACAGCCGAAATCATCAATGCATTCACTTGTTCCCTTTATCAATAATATAATAGAGGCGTTTTATTTTACTTTTCTTATATGAATATGGCTATGCTGAAAGGTGTCACAAATATATGGGCTGAAATAAAGGTTACAGAGAGAACCCTACTGACCTTCACCATGAACATTAGTTTTCAGTGCGGTTTAAAGACTTAACACGAAAACAGTACCTAATGCACTCTGCCTGAAGTTAGTGTATAATATGGTTTATCCCCCTTCCTTCATAAGACAGAGCGCATATGTACGGTTTCCTGGTTCGGTTTCCTAATCAGGAATTCCGATTCGAAGAACTCAATGCACGTCCTTACATACATAATGTTGTACAAGGCGCACACTATTCTTATTTATCCAGAATGGATAAAAAAATCTAACGTTCGGTTCTACAAAAAAACTACCTAATGCAAAAACCGCAACGTCTGTGCTAGGCTCACGAAATTCCAAATAATGTTACAGAGAAAAGAGTCACCAAGTCGCTTGTAGCTTCTCTTCTTCTTGTAGCTATCTTGATACTAAATACAGCCTAAGGTTCCCCTTTCATGTAGTGGTGATACATTTTCACATAAGCAGTAGGTATCTATCTATAGTTAGGTAGGTATCTATAGTTCTACCATTAAGGACCTCTTTTCTTTGGCAGGTGCACATGGGTACGCACATGTGGAGCGGGGGCGCCTCCAGACGCGGTCGCCGCATGTCACTGGAGCTGCCGCCTCGACCGCTGCACGAACCACACGACTTACTGAGGCGCCCTGACCTGTTCTACCCTTACCTGCCCGCGCCATTTCTCAACGGCATGCAGCAAAAGGTTAATGTTCTTGTCGGACTGTTCCTTCATAGAAATAGATTCGCCATTTTTAATCTTAAGTGGTCGTGAAGTTAAGTTATATTAGTTGGCTTTAAGGCAGTAATTGCTTGGACACGATCTACTGAGTCGCCCTGACCTGTTCTACCCTTAACTTCCCGCACCATTCCTCAACGGCATGCAGCAAAAGGTTAATTAATGTTCTTATTGGATTGTTCCTTCGTAGAAATAGAGTCACCATATTCAATCTTAAGTCGTTATGAAGTTATAGGTATTAGTTTAGTTGGGTTTAAGGTGATAATTGCTTGGATACGATCTACTGAGTCGCCCTGACCTGTTCTACCCTTATCTGCCCGCGCCATTCCTCAACGGCATGCAGCAAAAGGTTAATTAATGTTCTTATTGGACTGTTCCTTCATAAAAATAAAATCACCATATTCAATCTTAAGTCGTCGTGAAGTTAAGTTATAGGTATTAGTTGGGTTTAAGGTGATAATTGCTTGGACACGATCTACTGAGTCGCCCTGACCTGTTCTACCCTTACCTTCCCGCGCCATTACTCAACGGCATGCAGCAAAAGGTTAATGTTCTTATTGGACTGTTTCTTCACAGAAATAGAGTCGCCATATTCAATCTTAATGTGGTTGGAAGTTAAGTTACATGAACTAACTTTGTTTGTTGGATATAAAGCAATAACTGCTTGGATACGATCTGGATAATAGAAGTAGGTAAACATCGACCAAAAACTGATAGAGAATCTTTTTCTATGTACACGTTTTATATAAGTATTATTATGATTGTGAACTCTTTTCATGGAAACGAGCTAGTACCTACAAACGACGTTGTCATTACAAGACCCAATAACTGCCCCTTTTGCCGTGTGACAGACACATTTCCATCCTTGTCTTCCCTCAACGATAGTGTGATAAATAAAGCGCTCCACTAACACGTTTCCATGAATATATATAAAAGTTTATAATTTCTTTTAAAATAATCTTCACAATTTCATTTCCCAACAGCTGAACGAGATATCAGTGATCCAACAAAGCGCGGGTCAAAACGGAGTCGGGAAGTTCCCCGGCCTACTCGGCTTCGGAGCCTTCGGTGGCGCCCGGCCCGGTGCCGCATCCCCCTTGGAGAGGCCGCCGTCGTTGGAAGGCGGCGACGAAAGGCAAGCGGCGATGCGCGAGTTAGCTGAAAGAGGCCGTGAGTTGGCCGAAAGAAGCCGACAGCTGCGCGAAGAAGGAGACTACCGATCGCCGCCCGCGCACGCCCCCCTCGCCCCGCCCCCCACACAGCCCTCCTCCCCCGCCCCGCACCATCCCCACCCGCATCCTTTAGCCTCCCTCCCTCCCCCTGCACGCACCGAAGGCCTCACCGTCTAAAAATCCTCAACACCCTAACATTCCAAAATCTAACTCCAGAAAATGAGGGCCGATGACGTATTGAAGTGTCATGTTTATATTGTACAAAGATTAGTAGCATAAAAAGAAAATTTAAGGGACTGATAAATTACGACGAAGCGAGTGTTGTAGCATAATGATGTGCAAAGTGTAGTGCTGTATGTAACGAATTGTTATTCCACGTGTTTCATACGCCTAGTATTATTGTAAGTAACTTATAAATGCACGAGTACGGGCCTGGGGCAATCGGGGGCTCGACCCCACGTTAATGTCATTACTCTGTGATAGTGCACATTCGAGAGGCTGTGTCTGTGTGTACTGGACGACGATGTTTTAGGAACGCTATCGGATATCTCTCATCTTTATTAGATGCAGTCTAATGTGCTATGACATGAAATATTATTAAATTATCCCAAAAATTAATTATCTTAAATCTATATCTATTAAATGTAAATAAATTGTATCATAGTCTCGAGCGTATATAGTTTATTATGTATTACGATTTAAAATTAATTAAAATTATTATTGTTGCTATACTATACGACTTGTAACTGGAGGGCGATATGCATGATTTTTGTCTCCACATTCCAACCGAAAGATGTTACTCAAGTACTCAAAATACGAGGAGATACTTTATTTAAATGAAAAGGTAACACAATAAACCTTGAGCCACTCAAACTGATTAACCTAAGACTTGTTTAACGATATCTGTCTTCATACCAATGTAATTAAGTGAAAAATCGAACAAAATTCTAAAACGCATAATTGTAAAATACCTATTTATTGTTAGGTATTCAATATTCTACAACATTTAAATATGGTAACAGAGGTTAATGACATATTCATATCATGTAAATTATGAAAAAAAGTATTTGCATTTGAGGTCTATAGTTGTAAGTATTTAGAGTCATAGATATAATGTTGCTTTAGAATATTTCGACATATCTTTGTAAAAATGGGAGCGGCTGGTGTTGAAACAAATCTAAAACACGAAAGGAATGAATGGTTACTTTAAGTTGTTTCAAAGTCACTCTCTGAGCAGACTGACCCACTGATTTGTCCATACGAAACATTTCTTTCCAAATGTGCATTTTAATCAATGCTTACTTTAGTCACTTATAGTCGTTTTGATGATAAGTTTAACACGAAAAAAATGCATTCACAGCATTTTATATTTTGAGTACGTTAGTTATGTGTATAAATTTTCCTACTAAATTATTTATATAAACTATAAATCATGCATACACTCTTAGTATTAAACGGATGCTTGTGAGGCGATAGGGCTCACTAAACAATTTAGTTGTTTAGGGTAAATTTTCATAGCACCTATGAGTTAATTTCAAGTTGCGAATAGACATAGAGAGTAGTGTTAGTCATGAATATGATGTGTCATGTCATGTCAGTATAAATGGACGTAGTTACGCGAAAACGTTCCAACCCACAGCGACCCCATTTTGAGATAAACGCAATTTTGTGTTTTAGCGGTACACTTTTTCCCTGTAATTATTTCAGGCAAATACTATTGGTGTTACTGTGGAATGCCAAATTGGTTATTGAATGATATGCATATTTTTTGTAAATACATAATACAAGGGGCATATAAATAGGTAAAACGAGTTTGAAACGTTTTCGCTAAATTTAATTTTGTATGAACCTTGTTAAATAGCAATTATGCATAAACGTTCCAGAACGAATTCAAGTGTATTATTTTATAAATATATCTAAAATAAATATGTAAAATAATGAATAACAATGAGGAACATACAAAAACAACAAAAATTTGAAAATGTATTACAAAAAAAATAGAACGTGATCTTTTGAGCTTTGAACCTATGCCAATTTGCTGATATGGTTCCAAAAGTTATCAAAAACTTATATTATAAACATTCAATTTTCATCATCGTATTCTATGATCTCGAAGTCCGGAACTCCACCAAACCCATCAACATCATCAGTGCTTCTTCAGAACAGAAGGCAATCCACTTCCTGTGCACCTCTTCCTACCTCTCCTTCTACCAATACATAACAATGCCCAGTATCATTAGATGCACTATGGATACCACTATTGTAGAACTAAGTAAAAAAGTTAAACCTCTTCAAGTTTACAAAATGACAAAGAATGATTTTATAGTACAACTAAACTGGAAAAGAATATTATCAATAGGAAGAAGTTTACAGACTCATCTAAAGTTAGTTGGCTACATACATAAGAAATTAAGTTGGATAAAGATATGATTTTTTCTATTTTTATGCGGTCTACGATGGAAGACGATTTCAATGAGTTGAAAATTGATAAAAGAATAAAACGAGAACTGCAATACATAAAAGAATCTGATTTTTGCTTATTGTGGCCTAACGACAAACCGATTGCTCCAGCGAAATTAGTGGACTTACAATCCATGTACCACTACATACCCGAGGATTGCCTTCAATTTTATAGAACGCTTCAAAGTTCTGAAGAAGCACTGATGATGTTGATGGGTTTGGTGGAGTTCCGGACTTCGAGATCATAGAATACGATGATGAAAATTGAATGTTTATAATATAAGTTTTTGATAACTTTTGGAACCATATCAGCAAATTTTTGGCATAGGTTCTAAACTCAAAAGATCACGTTCTATTTTTTTGTAATACATTTTCAAATATTTTTTTTGTTGTTTTTGTATGTTCCTCATTGTTATTTATTATTTTACATATTTCTTTTTGGTTTATTTTTATAAAATAATACACTTAAATTCGTTTTGGAAAGTTTATGCATAATTGCTATTTAACAAGGTTCATACAAAATTAATTTAGCAAAAACATTTCAAACTCGTTTTACCTATTTATATGCCCCTTGTATTATGTATTTACAAAAAATATGCATATCATTCAATAATCAGTTTGGCATTCCATAGTTAAACCAATAGTATTTGCCTGAAATAATTACAGGGGAAAAGTGTGTAAATTGCGTTTATCTCAAATTGGGGTTGCTCTGGGTTGGATCATTTTCTCGTTACTACGTCCAAATATACCATAGTTATTTATTTTGGTAAAAAATATCTTTTTCTCTAGAACATACTTAATAGCAAAAATGGATCAAGTATATGTGGATTGTTTATAGCAAAAAATTAGAAAATAATATATTATAATAAAAGGTTTCAATTTATTTAGAACAGTGTTCGCAGCTTAAAAAAACAGTATGGATTAATCTAAAAGGTTTCAAATTACATGGAACATTTTTGCAGAAATAAAAAATGTATAATGATTTTGCAAAAACGTTCCAACCCACATGGATCATTTAAGAAACCATTAAATGTGCGTTTTATGAATTTAGTATAATGTTCCAAGACAAGTGGAACATTATAACGATATGTTATTCTATTAAGAGTTTTTAACAATATGTTTCAGTATGCATGTAATGTTTTTACTTTATTTTGAGTACACGTCCTTGGCATAATGGTGGGTTGGAACATTTGGGTTAAACTTTATTGATGAAACTAACCTAAAAATACTAGCATCTTTGTGTGCACATGATGTAATATGTCAAAAATAGTACCCTGGTTATGGTAACTCATTTTCGAGTGACTTGTGGGTTGGAACGTTTTCGCGTAACTACGTCCAAATAATCATTGTAAATTATTAAATGTTTATGTAAATGTCCAAAAAGTATTCAAATTATTTAAAAAAAAAACAATTATAGTGATAATTTCTTTTTTTTTTCTTTTTGTTTTACCGGTCCCGCTCATTCCCTTCTGTTTTTTTTTTAATTTTCATTCACACATACATTTCTGGTTACAACAACACAATACTAACACAAAATTCACATAAATATTTCACAAAATATTTTAAATGAGTGCATCATTCGTGTAATTAAGATTCTCTTGATAAACTTTAAATGATCCTCAAAAAGTGTTAATTGCACACCAAATATATATTATTGCAAAACTATAGGGCAGTGTAGGTTGGCAATTGTATATGATTTTAATGCAATTACTATTTATTTTAGGATCATTTAAATATCACTCCAATTCATTAAAGATCTCAGGCCCAACAATGCAACGCTAAACGTGGCATGTATTGTCATAAACAGTTGCTTCGTAACTTATCCAACCCCACAACAAATATAATAATACTAAATATATTTGTTACGGATAAAAAGTATCCTTTGTTTCAATCCAGGTAAAATACTACGTGTGCCAAATTTCATCCAAATCTGCTCAGCCGTTATTGCGTGATTAAGTAACAAACAAATAAATAACAAATGCGTGATTAAGTAATATTAATAACTTTTATAACATTAGTTAGGATGGCGTGTATGTAAACATGTACGTGCAAGAGTCTGTCAGGTTTCCACAAAATATCAAAACTCTTCAATCGATCGACCTTGACCTCAAACACTAAGGTTGAAATTCTATTGAGAATTCTAACAGTTTTGTATATAAGCCAAAATAGAAACTAATATAATATGGCGTCACATGACACTGTCTCACCCGCTCTTATAAGAGGAATAATGTGTGAGAGTCGGAATGTTGTGTAATCATTTTAAATTATATAGTTTGTTTCTAGGCGCGAGTTATAATAATTATAGTGGCAAACTACATTATCTGTTGTTACAGTTTTACCTTAAGAACGAGAAGCTACTGGACTAATTTCTTTACTACAAACATACACTTATGGCCAATTCATACTGGTACAGAGTGGAAGCACATCGAAGCGTCAATCAGAAACATAACAAAGCAAGTTCACCCTTATCTCCGCAACGTAGTGCACATATTCGTATAGTATATGGAAACTATTTATAAAAATATATGTTTCAAGTTATACGAAAACTTGTTGTAATATATTCTATATATTTGACGACCTCCATTTGGTCGAGGGGTCGCCGGGTTTCGAGGTGTCTCCTACTCGAGAGGTCCCAGGTTCGTCGAATCCCGGTGGGGGCAGATGTTTGTGTGACGAATACGAGCAATTTGTACTCCAGTCATGGATGTTTAATACGTATTTCTATATAAATATACTTATTTATGCATCAGTATATGTATTCTATCCGTTACCCTAGTATCCCATAACACAAGCCTACAGTGCTTACTTTGGGGCTAGGCTAATTGGTGTGAGTGTTGGAAATATTTATTTATTTTATTTATTTATTCTAGTCATGGATTAAATGAAAATAAATATGTAACAGGAATAGTGTTAAATACTTTTTTGGGTTTTTAATGGATGGTTATAAGAATTAAAAACCATAAATATGAAAGATTCCATTATTTATTAGCTCAGACATTTTCTTAATCTATCTTCACTCAATATTAGTTACGCGAATGTTTAACCATCACATAGACAATTTGAACATTTTGCATACATATTATAAACGGGCTAAATTATTACTTGAAACAGCAATGCACGTTTTAATTGTAGACAGTACAAATGATGTATTTTCATTCAATTATGCAGTTATTTTAAAAACACGAGATACTGCTGGGAAAAAGTGTATCAAGTACCAGGCTCGCATAGTTTCATAGAAGTTAATAGCCCTTGTGAATTTGTTCCCTATTGATAAGCTGATCTCCCTCGCTATTATCAAATTACTATTTTTAACAATGCAATAGTTGTAACGGATCCACTAAATAGCAGCATTTTACCTGAAATAAAATGCATATTAAAATACTTACCTCACTGAAAGCTTTATATTGAGATAGCACTTCCGTTTCCCGTCGAATTACCATCAGTTTCCGTACTTTTATTCACCTTGTATCCGGTCCAGTGGCGACACCTGGCAGAAGCGCGGCCATTTTTGTTTTCCTATGTTTTGACAGCGCCATATTAACTCATTGGCTCAATTATTTCACCAGGCAGAATTTAAAGTGAAAGCTTTCAGTGAGGTAAGTATTTTAATATGCATTTTATTTCAGGTAAAATGCTGCTATTAAACTACTTGACCGTCACTGAAAGCTTTATATTGAGACCTGTTTGTTATCGCCTGGTGATCGCCACGTACATAGATATATACGCCAATGTGACAATTTATGATAAATTTAAATATTAACATTTATCAGATTATATGAAACTGTATAAAGAAACGAGTAAGCTTAAAAATGGATCAAATAATATTATTTGAATCACGCCTTTAATTTCTTCACGCTTACGAAGCTGCTTTAACATATGTATTAGCTGATCGCTATATTCCTTTGCTTAAAACTCGCGAATTATATATATATATTTGCTTTGTTAATGACCGGACGCTTCCTTGTGTAGCATTCATTTGTATCTTTGTATATCACAAATAAGGCATACGAACGCGATAAAAAGATGTAAAGTTGTTCGATACTGAGTCTTACATTTTACAATACTGTACTTTTTACTTAAGTACCAAAAATCAGGGTCCCACTTACGATTACCATTATTCGATACAAGTCACCAATCGGATTGTCTTTAACTACTTTCACCTGTTTTGAACCAAAACAAGGCTAAAACTAATCTTCGTCGGTACAAATACAATGATTCGGAATAATTTGAAGTAGGAACAAGTCATGTGTACCACATGCTGAACCAAATAATAATTACTGTATGACGTTCAGAACAACAACTAGTATGACGAGGGATTTGAAACAGATCATTATGATATAACTTCAATATATTATTATGTGTTTGCCAAGGCAGGTGAGCTTAGGTAATTAGACTTATCATCCATTGGTATATCATGTAAAAACTACTGACTTATTTAGAATAATGGTACTTATTTTGAGATAAGTCACGTGTTAAAATAAGTCTCAAATCGTGTTAGCTCAGAGCCGAGTCCACAACCTGCGGGATTATTCCGATAAACATTCTTGTTCCTAGACCAATGCAACCACGCAAGCCAGCGTTTCCGAGCCATCTCATAGCTGTTTAAAACAGAGCTGTCGCTCTTTGTAGAATATGATAAAAAGCGTAGTGCTAGCATATCTATTTGATTGGAGTGGAGATTGAAGTGAAGTGGTAGAGCCGTATTCTTCAACTATACTTGCCAAGCTTTCATATTAGATTGGCAGGAAGTGATTGCAAGGTCGATTGCAATAAATTTCTAACTATTGTTAGAAGTAGGGAGTGGTTGATACAACCCCACGGAATGACAAACATGTTGAAACCGATCAACTTCTGAAGTTTTACGTTTTTACAACAAAATTCTCAGGTATAGTTTTTATATTGTTGCAGGGTTGCCGTGATAAATTATGCTATTACGAAGTTCAGACCAGATTTTATGAAATTCATTTGCCATCCTGGAATCTATAATTGATTGTAATTTTTCCTTTTGTTTTTCAGTTCTTAGATCCGAGTCATTTATATGTATTACTTAATACTAAATAAAGATTTAGTTATTTATAAGATTTACACAGCTTACATGAAGTGTGCATGTAGTATGCGTAGGGTTTGAAGTATATTTATTCCAGACAGTCGTGGCAAGGTTAGAAAGCGTAAATTTAATATTAAGAACAGTTTTCAGTATTTTTTACTAAAAATAACATAAAGTGGATAATTGCATACAATGATCTTCAAAACCTTTCAAGAATTTGGTAGATCGTGCAATTTTTCTTCAGTACATAGCACCACTTATATATCAAAATGATCATGTTGGCCACCTCGGACACCTCATACACGACATTTCTAATATTGCAAGTTTCTCTCATTACCCGATCAACAGAGTGAGCAACCTATTTGGTTTACTTTTGTTATTTTCAAGAGAAAATATGTTATCATCTATCTATCTGGCAGATAGTCCTTAAATTGCAGAAAACTTAGAATTCTTTACATAGTTATAGTGTACTGCACTTGAGATTGGAGCTTGATATATATTGGATTTAGATAAACAAGCTTTTGAATGGCATGCGACACCATTAAATTTATTTAAGAATTATTTGTGGTGCCACCAATTTATCAACTGTCCTGCACTAAATTTTTTCAAACATTAATTGTTTCGATATTCCTTTTTCTTTTGAAATGTATAACAGCACGTCCTCGATAACTATATTACGGTAGAACAACAGTAGTGATCGAGTCAACACTTCACACCAATTAGCCTAGCCTCATAATAGGCATTGAAAGACTTGTGTTATGGGCTAACGCATAGAAATGCATAATGATGATGCATAGATTGATATGATTTTGAGTTAATATTTGTTAACAACCAAGATTTAGGCACAGATGCTTGTTTTAATCATACAATGATTTGCCCCACCGGGGTGAACCCAAGACCTCGGAGTATGCGACACCTTTAAAACCACGTACATTGCACTTCACAACGGGGTACGTCAACATTCGATGTTCGATCTTTATAGTCTATTAAGAGGGTAGTTCATAGCCGATACTTATGTGTGTACGCAAACCATGAGCGGGTATGTTGCGTTGCGTCGATGTATGATTTCCACGCGATGGAAGTAATGAATTATGTCAAGCGACATTTATTATATTTTCAATTTACTTATTTTTAATGTTTCGAATCGTTTACACTTTTACAGACCCCATGGTCACAAAAATAAATTATGAATCACGAATAGACTATATGTTAAATTATGCATAATTTGCTCCACTCGAGTGTCGTATGTTACCGGTGCTTACATAATAGTACGAACTCCATAAGCGAACATGTTCTAAGGAAAACATATATTGAGCTTCACGTAATGGAAATAATATATTATGTGTGATATGACCCCACAAGGTCGATTATAAGTTTGATGAGGATATTCCTCCATCAACGATATTTTGTTACCGATACTTGTATGTGTAGGCAAGCCATGGAAGGCATGTCTTTATTCATAATGAGTTCCATACGGTGGAAGCAAATTATACATAATATGCCCCCTCGAGGGGCGGTCATTAGAGTTTTGGTAATATGCACCCTGCGAGGGTGGTTTGCTACCGTTACTCGTATATGTAGGCAAGGCATTAGAGTCATTTCATAAGGTTCCACGTAGTGGAAACAAATTGTATATAATATGCACCCCGCGAGGGTGATTTGCTGCCGGTACTCATATATGTAGGCAAGGCATTAGAAGCATTTCATAAGGTTCCACGTAGTGGAAACAAATTGTATATAATATGCACCCCGCGAGGGTGATTTGCTGCCGGTACTCGTATATGTAGGCAAGGCATTAGAAGCATTTCATAAGGTTCCACGTAGTGGAAACAAATTGTATATAATATGCACCCCGCGAGGGTGATTTGCTTCCGGTACTCGTATATGTAGGCAAGGCATTTGACGCATTTCATAAGATTCCACGTAGTGGAAACAAATTATATATAATATGCACCCTGCGAGGGTGATTTGCCACCGGTACTCATATGTGTCGGTACGCCATGGGAGGGCATGTCCTGACACGCCTTGGGATTCATGAGATGAAGCTTATGAATATCACTTGCCTCTGATTGAGTTGAATCCATGACTAATTCTGACTTAATACGAGAAAAACAATCTCAAAAGCTCTGAATCATTATGGGTGATTAGATGGTATCTTATTAAGTGGTGCTTCATCACAGAGATCACTAACTTCTTAAGTAGTGCTTTAGTTTTTACTTTTTAGCTTTGTGCCCTCACTAGCTGTAAAAGACCTAAGAAAAGATTCTGTTATCTTATCACTTTCGTTATTAAAATTAACTGAACAGGTGCCTTCCCGCGATGATTCATTTTTATTTTAGAAATATGCAATTGCTGAAAGAAAATTAATGTCAGGAACGTGATATATCATAAATTATCATCATACTTCTTTACCTCGTTGTTTGATTCCAGGTTGGTAAAGCCTGGACTATGATTATAATATTCAATTGACATCAGCATATCATTTAAAATAAACGTTGAATTTATTTCGAACAGAGCGTTCCTTTATCCTAGTTTAGTCACACGACTCACATGAGAATTTTTATTACGTGTATTGGTCAGTAAAAATGTTAGAACTTTTTATTCATAAGCCTTTTGATATTGATAGCTGGCCATGTTCAGAAAAAGGCATATCGACATTAGAAATACCTTATTAAGATTGTGCATAGTTCACTTACCCCTCGAACAATCTTTTAATAAAAGGGCTGGAATATCAAGCTCGCTTACTATTCTTGAGACAGCGATGCCGCTTTCGTTATACCAGAAGATGACAAATTCAACCATCTTGCTGTTTTTGCCACTAATGCCAGTCAGTTGGCGGCTGAAACGTCAATATTGACCGATGTTCCTTCAGTCTAAACTATAAAATAATTTAATTAAGTATTTTGTAATACATTTACCAATTTACTTTCACACTTACTTATACGGAAACATTAATTGAGTACCAAGAGAAAACACTCTTAAAATAGTTTTTATTACAAACGACCAAGACAGTCGTAAAGTATTGCAAAATTTACTTTAATGTACGGAAACTGATGGTAATTCGACGGGAAACGGAAGTGCTATCTCAATATAAAGCTTTCAGTGACGGTCAAGTAGTTTAATTACACAACAATTTCTATAATTTGAAAGTACAAGAATATGAACCACTTGCACCAAATTTGCAAATCTCTGTTTAACTAAAACTAGATTTAAAAAGATTGACAAGTACCGGGCTCGCATAGGCTCTAGTAGTTGATGACGCTTGCGAAGATTTTGACCCGGTTCAGTAGCAGATCGCCGTCGCATGTTTCTTAACTTTCTATTTTTATCAATGCAATTTTACTAAATTATGAAACTTTAATTTTTTTCAATAACAGAAGTTATTTTTAATTGTATCAATGTATCAGCTATTACAAGTAAAAAATTAAGTATTGTATTTCCATATATGCATCTACATTTTACAATAATACAAAGATATTGGTATCGATTCTGGCATGGTTCTCAAAAACCTAAACTTAAATTTGACAACAGTATATCCTTGTCACTCTCTATACAGAATGAAAAGGACATACGGATATTAAATTTTGGTTTAAGTTTAGAGAATCATGCCAGAATCGACACCATTGCTATGCTAAGAATCGAGTGACAAGTACCAGGCTCGCATAGGCTCTAGAAGTTGATGACGCTGGCCAGTTTCTTGACCCGATTCAGTAGCAGATCGCCCTCGCGTATAGTCGCCTGGTACAGCTGAGAGCGGTCCGCGTCAGCCCCGCGGCCAGCACCGGTCACTACGCACCCGGCCACCGCGTCTATGCGGCATTGGAGGCGGCCGGCGGCGGTGAAGCTGGATGGAATATAGTAAAGCTTAGCTTAGGAGCCTTTGAATATGTACACGCCTAGATACCGTATTAACTGCACGGAAGCGACACAAAAATATCTCTCTACACTAGCGGCCGGCCGCGACTTCGTATGGATGGAGTTAGTTAGAAATAAAGGTTCACTGCTCGTTCCCCGTAGGTGATAGCGTGATAAAATGTAGCCTATATGTTGACCCGACTTCTTAATATTATTAGTGCCAAATTTGAAGTAAATCTATGCAGTACTTTTTGAGTTTATCCCGGACATACATATAGACAAACAGACAAAAATTCTTAAAACTATATTTTTGGCTTTTTTCGATTGTAGATCACACTGCAAGTATTCTTTTAAAAAAATATTCAATGTACTGTTTTGACTTTCCAACCATTTTATTTTATGTATAGATATGGCAGATACACTTGTCGCTACTTCGCTAACCAGCCACCGTGTCTATGCGGCATTGAAGGCGGCCGGTGAAGCTGGAAGAATTATAGTAAAGCTTAGCTTACGAGTCTTTGATATATACACGCCTAGATACCGTATTAACTGCACAGAAGCGACACAAAAATATCTACTACATATGACAGATACACTTGTCGCTACTACGCTAACCAGCCACCGCGTCTATGCGGCATTGGAGGCGGCCTGCTGCGGTGAAGCAGAAAGAATTATAGTAAAGCTTGCCCCCATAATGTCCCCACTGCTGAGCACAGGCTTTATCTATGGATGGAATAGGGAGATTGGCCCATGGCCCACCACACGGGCCCAGTGCGGATTGGTGGTTGCTTACGACTGCAGATGCATGCGGGACAAACGGCTTAAAGTGCCTTCTGAATCACAAAAAAGAAAGAGATAAAAATTTGGTCACCCATCCGATGACCTGCCATTGTGAAAGTTGCTGAACTGCATAATCACAGACCGAACGCTCTTACCACGCTCGGCATCGAGCACCTCTAATTCCTCTCTTGTCTCGTCTCCTCTTTAATCTCCTCCTCCTCTCTAAATTCCTATAGGATAGAAAATCCACGCAGACGACGGTCGCCAGCATCTACTAGTAGAACAATGGGCCCAATTCTGGCGTGATTCTCTAAACTTAAAACTAAATTTAACATCAGTCTCTCCTTTTCATTCTGTATAGAGAATGACAAGGATATACTGCTGTCAAATTTAAGTTTAGGTTTTGAGAATCATGCTAGAATCGACACCAATATGAACGTAGGCACGCGTAACTGCACGTACGCCTTGATACGCGCCTCGCGTACATAGTGCTGGTAGTTGGGCCGGAACATCTACAATATGAACGCAGTTCACTTGGAGATCTCCTCCTCGACGAACTCGCGCGTGACGCCGAAGGTGGCGGCGATATTGTCCAACCTGAGCGAGCGGTAGGCGTGCAGCAGCTGCACGTACGCCTTGATGCGGGTCTCTGGTACATAGTGCTGGTAGTGGGGTCGGAACATCTACAAAATGGACGCGGCCTACTTGGAGATCTTCTCCTGGACAAACTCGCGCGTGACGGCGAAGGAGGCGGCGATGTTGACCAATCTGAGCGAGCGATAGGCGTGCAGCAGCTGCACGTACGCCTTGATGCGGGTCTCGCGTACATAGTTCTGGTAGTGGGGTCGGAACATCTACAATATGAACGCGGCTCACTTGGAGATCTCCTCCTCGACAAACTCGCGCGTGACGCCGAAGGTGGCAGCGATGTTGTCCAAGCTAAGCGAGCGGTAGGCGCGCAGCAGCTGCACGTACGCCTTAATGCGGGCCTCGCGTACATAGTGCTGGTAGTGGGGCCGGAACACTGGGTCCACGCAGATTTGCGTTTCCACCTATGGGCAATTTACATTTTATGGTTGTCAATTTCATGAAATCATAGTTCAAATACACCTTAAATGAAATTTATTTTATTGACACAAATTTTTGCGCAAAACCTTCCGAATAAGTGATTACTTATTAAGGCCGCTATGATAAGTGATTACTTATAAGTTATTACTTATCATAGGGACTTCCCAAAAATAAAATTAAATATTGTGCATTGTTGAATGTGTTTATGTGCGAGATTGTGTGTGGTTTATTTTATCAGAACAAATTCTTATTTTTAAATACCTTATCTTTGTATCAATAAAAAAGTCTCAGACTCAAAAACATTAAAATCTAACTGCTTACAGTTATGGAGCTTTTTCTTGCCTCTATGAAGTATTAAAGTACCAATAGTTTTCAAAACTCAACATACCCAAGCCAAGCTCTTCATGAAATCGGCATATCTGCATTCGTGAAGGGACTCTACCAGCTCCCTGAGCTCGGGGAAGCGGGATCGCAAAGCCTGCACCGCAGCACCCTGCCTCCTTAACGCGGCCTGGAGAGCATGTCGCTCCAGTGCTAAGGCACATGCTAGCACGCAATACTGAATTATTGTTCCTGGAAAATAAGAAAATTATAGTTATAATTTTTATATTTTAAGCATGTAACTGCTTGATGTTTAAATCTAAAGAAAATATAACTAGAAAAAAATCCACGCGGACCAGGCAGCAGACGGGATTCGAACCCGCACCCTTTGCTATCCGGGCGAATGCACTGACCAATTATGCTACCGCGGCCCTGACGACCGCGTCGAAAATTCTTCTAGCCATTCTTAAGCTGCAAGGCAGCGCCATCTCTTCGCATTATAGGTAACCCACAATGTCAAATGAATACTTTTACAAGTATTAAACATTTGAAAGAAGAAATAGCAATTATAGTTACAATTTTTATTTTTTAAGCATGTAACTGCTTGATGTTTAAATCTAAAGAAAATATAACTAGAAAATTATAGTTAACTAGTGGCCCACCCTTGCTTCGATCCTGTATAGACTAAGGTTTTAGTTCTAATATATAGCTAACCAGGCGGCCCGTCCCGGCTTCACACGGGTGTATTAAGTACTATTGAAACATAATGAGTCAGCATCCAAAAGAAGAACATGAATAAATTAATACAGATTTTGAAAGTAGCCGGACTAAGTTTCTTATGTAAGAAGAAGAAGTTTATAGAAGAAATAATGACTCGTCCCGACTACGCACGGAAGTACTGTATTAATAGACACGAATCAGCATCCGGAAATAATAGGTATATATCATCATACGTAGGTATGATCTGGTAAAAATGGTTTCGAAATCGGTCAAGTGATTGAAATATTGAATTTTACCCCTGGAGATCCCTTATCTGTGGAATTAACAGAACAAAAATTGTACTTATTCTTCTACAATTTCAAACATTGAAGATTTCGTTTTGAAAATCAGTTATGTGTTAACTAACAACAACGTTAAGAAACAGAATTTGACACCCGTAGTCTCATTCCCATAGAACTGTTGGGAAATATGTTGTTTTATTGTAATCCCTTTACAATAAAACTATCTATTAGTGAAAGCATTTTAAAAATGCGTGCGTCAGTCAGTGTATCCTTTTCTCACTTTATATACTCATACTAGTATAGATAGTATACAATAGATATATAAGAAGACATAGAAATATATTCAGTAAACTAAAAACCATCATTTTTCCAAAGCTTTTACATCGAGTCCATTGCTAAAACCGCTGCCAGAAAACTTGGAATACTTTCTAAGGTCAGGCGATATTTTACATCTGAGCAGCTCCTTAACCTTTACCGAGCCCAAGTTCGCTCCTGCTTGGAGTACTGTTGTCACCTTTGGGACGGATCTGCTCGGTATCAGCTGGATGCACTGGACTCGGTGGAACACCGTGCGAAGAGACTCATAGGCAATGACGCTCTCGTTGAGGCTAATCTTCAGAGCCTCGACCACCGAAGACGTGTAGCTTGCCTTTCGGTGTTTTATCGGTTACATTTCGGAGATTGTGCGGAGGTATTACATAATTTGATCCCCCCTTCCCCTTTCCACCACCGGACGACCAGGCGCGGCGAGGGCTTCCACCCTTATGTTGTCGAAGTTCCTCCTATTCGCACGAAGCGATTTGCTTCGGCCTTCATTATACGAACGGCTAGGGAGTGGAACTCCTTGCCGAGGTCTGTTTTTCCGGACCAATATAACCTGGACATCTTCAAGGCCAGAGTGAACAGGCATCTTCTAGGCAGGCGTGTACCATCCTAGGCCTCATCATCGCTTTCCATCAGATGAGATTGTGGTCAAACGCATTGCCTATTTAGCATAAAAAAAAAAAAAAAAAAAAAAAAAGCTCCAACATTTTTCCCTCTGGAAGTTTTCCAGGAATTTGGAAAGATGCTCAAGTTATTCCACTTCCCAAAAAATCAAATCCTGATGCTATGTCCGATTTCCGTCCTATTTCCATCCTTCCTTTCCTTTCCAAAGTTCTTGAGCGTCTAATACACAATCAACTGAGTGAATTCCTTCGAATGAATAACTTGCTAAATCTTTTACAATCTGGTTTTCGTCCTGGCCATAGCACTGCTAGTGCACTTGTCAAAATTACCGATGACATTCGCTTTGGCATGGAAAGTCAGAAACTCACAACTTTAACTTTATTAAATTTTAGTAATGCCTTTAACAATGTTGACTTTGAAATCCTGTTGAGTTTACTGCGTTCTCTTAACATATCTCCTACGGTCATTGAATGGTTTCGTAGTTATCTACATGGACGCCGGCAGCGTGTAATTGTAGGTGAATCCTTCTCTCAATGGTGTACTCTAACGGCCGGTGTTCCTCAAGGTGGCGTGCTATCTCCTTTGCTTTTCGCTATTTTCATTAACTCAATTACCCTCAAGTTAACTTCTACCTGCCATCTGTATGCAGACGATCTTCAGATTTACACACAGGATTGACTGGAAAACTTAAATAATGCAATTAATAACCTAAATGCAGACTTAGCACTTATAACGGAATGGAGCAATGCATTTGGGCTCAAAATCAATCCAGCAAAAACACAGTGCATTATTGGTAGATCTTACTTTATATCTCGGATTGACTTTAAGCAGCTGCCATCAGTTACTTTATATAGAACTGTTATCCCATTTTCTGAAACAGTTCGGAATTTGGGGATCATATTTGAAAAACACCAAGATAGAGTCTTGGTGTCCTCAGGTTGCTGAGGTCAGTAGGCGAACTTTTGCTGCGGCTGGATCTTTACGACGTTTACGTAATTTCTTGCCCACTGCCACCAAAATTTCTCTTCTTCTACCTATTCTCGATTATGCAGATGTTTGTTATCCCTATCTTACCTATGATCTTCTAAGTAAACTTGAACGACTGCATAATTTTTCCATCAGATTCATTAACGGTTTACGTAAGTACGACCATGTTTCTTATTACAGGCAAAAATTGAAGTGGCTTCCCATTCGTCGTCGCCGTGATCTGCATTTATTATCCCTACTGTTCTCAGTACTGTTCAATCCAAAAGCTCCTGTCTATTTCAAAGAACGTTTTCAGTTTCTTTCTTCTTCTCATAATCTTCCGCTTCGCTCATTCTCCTGCTTTTCACACACCTCCTAACTTTTCCAAGGCGTATAGCCACTCCTTTACCATACGTGCCATCCAACTATGGAATTCTCTGCCGGAAAAGATTAGGCGTACCCAAACTCTAGCCTATTTTATTCGTGTTATTTATGTTACTGTTGTGCAATAAAGTATTATTATCTTATCTTATCTTTTCCCAGTTGTCATTCACATGTCATATTATTAAGTTTAAGCTTTAAGCGTAGTTAATTAATAACAAATCAGAGCAAATAACAAAACAGATCGAATATCTGAAATCTACTTGATCAAGGGCATGGCCACTGTTGGCGACTGGCTGGTGTTGGCCGATCTCTTTTATAGAACCTTTGTATTTTATATTCTTTCATATCACGTGTATTTTGATAGTACTTATGTCAAGGCTAGTCGCGAATAAACTGTTAACTTGAGAAGACCGTGTTTTTCATCATATACCAAGTCTACCACATCATACAGTCCACATCGCACGTAGTTATCAGCCACCCTGATTTTTCAGCTTAGCAAAAAGTTTCTAAGTAATTAGGTTGAGTATATTAAATATAGTAATGTCGTAAAAGGGCAATGCCAGAAGTTCTATAGAGGTTTGACCCGATAAAGTAGAATTACATGAATGCGATGAATGACATTTGATTGCTGTAATATTAGGAAACAAAATAGTAAAATTGTAAATACTATAGAAGTTGCAGTTTTTTAATAATATGCTAACAAAGAATACAATTATCATACGTTTCTCAAGCTGCAATTGAGCAGAAAATTGGAATTGCTATAAATTATTAATTAGGCGTTTCCATAACTTCAATGTACAAGTTTCATCAGTCTGTGAGGGTTTCCGAGTTTATTTATTAAAGGCAAACATACAAATTGTACTCTTCATAATGTAAATAATAGTAATAACATAACGAATTTGAAATATATATATATTCACATCAATAAATCGGTATCCTAAAAACAAAGCCAGAAGGTAGTATAAAATGCATGATCGAGTCCGTATTCAAAAGCAAAAGTCGTAATTATTTTTTTCATAACACCCATCATCTTCGTTTTACTTTCGTTCACTTTGTCGCACCGCACCACAGTCATAAGAAAAGAAAATGTCAAACAAAAGGATATCAATCCAGAATGGAGTTTAGTTTCACCTAGTACTACCACTTAATAATATGTATGCGCATAAAAAATAAAAGATACTAGAATTGTTTAACTTATTTTTAAACATAACATCAAATCTCAAAAATCATCAACATCTCCTAACGGAAACAGTAGGTACACATTATTTTAATATTTATTTCGTATCTGCAAGTTTTACAAAGTAATAATTAAATCAGTATGAGAAAAAAAGTTGTATACATTTTTTCATAAATTTAATATTACTGTAAATGGTGGGTCATAAATCTGGCATTGTCATTTTACGAGCTTACATTTTGAACTGTCATAACTCTTTGACACATGTGTTCAATTAATACCTTACACAGTATGCTTTAAGGGGACTTTTAATGTTTAAAAAATTCCCTATTATGTTTTTGATTACGCAATCATCTTATGGAGCTCAGTGGATCGTCCAAAGTACCTTTTGGACAGGTTTCGGCCACAATTTCATTTGTGTTGTGTAACTAGAGTATTTATTTAATATCATGGGCTGATGATGATGATTCTCATAATTGAAATAGACCCATATGGTTAAATAGATGTTACATGAGTTAGTTCAGGCAATAATAACACATCAGTTTACTACTTAACATCATTTGTTTCCATTGATAGTGAATTTTATAATAAGCAAGCATACAAAGCTAAATATCAGTTAACAAATTTTTGGATAACTCAAATAATCTCATCTAAATTTAGAGCTCCAAGTCATTGAAGGTACTCTTTACAAAGATAATATAGCAATGTATCCTCACCAAAATCAACCAGTTCATATGACTCGAAAGTTGATACACAGTCTATGAAGAGGTCAGCAGCACGACTGTAGTCTCTAACTGCAAGACAGTAGATTGCCTCATATGCCTTAAGTTTATTTCTTGAGCGCCAGTCACCACCTTTGTCTACTAATTCATGTGCCTGAAACCACAGCCAATGTGAACAGTGATGAATAAATTCACAAACTTAAACAATTTATTAAAACACAATATTACAGTAGAACAATAACCTAAAAGTGTAAAGGGTTTATACTAGGAAATACTGACAACCTAAGTTTCTTTTCTTATTGCTCAAACTTTCTGCCATCCCTTCCATTTCATAGTTGGGAATGAGATGTTAAGACAGATTAACACTTTTCTTTAGATTTGAAGGGGAAATCAATTGAAATATTTTAGCCACCTCACCTTATTTCTTAAAAATAAATCATACATAAGTAACAGAATGAGCAAACAAAGTCTGTGCTTCGATGTAAAGAATTTAAATTGAAAACTAAACACAGCACTACTAAAAATTAAGCAGTTGGGTCAATAAAAATCAATTTATCTTCGAGGCTAAACTCAACTTACACTTAACGCTCAGGTGGTGTGGAATAATGTAGCACCTCATATAAAAAAGCCAGCACTGTAATAAATAGATTATAAAACATTGTTAAATGTGTTAAAACCTACTTTCCCAGAGAAACAGCCATGTGATACCTACCCATATAGAGACATACAAGCAACTGGTGTGGTAATATTCACAATTAATAAAAAATCAATAAAAAAATTGGTGATTCAGTAAAATCCATAAAGTAATATCGATACATACCTTGTGTAAAAGAATATTTGAACGGGTATAAAGGACCTGGATATACTGTACTTCCAGGGCCCAAAAGTAAAAACTTCACAGTTTTGTTGGTTGTAATTTCGCATTTTTGTTGTTAAAAAGGTTTCTGTTAACCACATTATTTAAAAAAATGTCACACTTATGCACTGGTACTTTTTTAGAAAAAAATATTGAAAATTTTTACTTTTCTTATCAAATGGTGATACTTCACACTAGGTTAGGTTAGGTTAGTGTTGTGACCATAACGCGCGAGCCGAGCGAGCAGAGCGAGCGTGCCGCGGCAGCGGCCGGCGAAGTGCCAGAAAAAAAAATCTGTTAAAAAGACCTTTTCTACAAAAAAAAACAAGTATCACCTTTTGGGCCCTGGAAGTACAGTTTTACCAAGGACCTAATATCAATATTTAATTTAACATTATTCTTGTGACCACAAAGCCTAAGAAATCCAGTATGTCAAGAACAATGAAAAATTAAATAACATTCCTTTTATATCAGTGCAAAAGGTGTTTTATTCAATGATTAATGTGCATGTAAACATAAAAATCTAAAATATTCATACCTTGTTGATTGCTTTTCCCATTTCCTTAACATTACATCCATGGAAGTAAGCAATACGGAACATAGCAAATATAGCATCAAGCCTTCTATTTGTGGTAAGAGTGGTGTCCTCATATTTGGTAGTTGCAAGAGCAGTAGCAGATTCTTTATCTCCAATGGAGCAGAGGTAATCTAACCTGAAACACAATGATTAAATTAAGAATATAAAAAAATTAAATAGGATATAAGTGTTACTTTACAATATTGCTTAAAATACATTTAATGGAAAACCAAAGTAGTAATTATTTTAATACCTACCTATCTTGCCATACTGGAGTCTCTGAATCATCTTCTTGAAACTTGGACAGTCTATCTACATTTTCTTTTGCCATGGAGTCATACAATTTCTGGTCAAATGACCAACCCAAATCAGTACACACTTCTTTATAATATGGAGCCATATTTCCAACTTTGATTCCTTGTAAAAGTTGCTCTTTCAGCTGAGAGTTATCTTTGAATTGAGGCAGGCTCAGCTTGAATTTGATACCTGCCAACGCCATGTATTCCGGAGTCTTTCCTTCAGCTGATAGTTCCATTTTCAAAGGTCCGATTTAAAACACAAGGTAGCAATAAAGTTGAATTAACTCGGTAGGTAACAACAGCGTTTCCAGACAAATTGTTGCAAAAACGCTCTATCATGAGCGAGCAGCCAGCAACAAAAATTTACAGATGTCATGTCAAATTCAACTTGTCATCACGCCCACAGACCTCTGCCACAGACCGGACCAGTGTTGCCAACTTCTAGAAGTTCGAGTCGCTAGACTCAACATCAAAAGTCGCTAGAAAGTCGCTAACACTAATTCCACCAGAATCGGACGCAGGATTTTGTATGGGAGAGGCAGAAGACACCACCGGTATGCTGTGTGAAAGGTTGGGATATGTGAAAAAAATTAAAAGTAGGTACATAAGGAATTAATTTATTTATATTTACCTACATAGAAATATTTAAAATTAAAAAAGCTTAAAACTACTTAATGTCTAAAAACTTAAAAAAAAAAGAAATAACTTAGTACTTAAATAATATACAGTCTATACTAATATAATAAAGCTGCAGAGTTTGTTTGTTTGTTTGAACGCGCTAATCTCTAGAACTACTGGGCCGATTTGAATGATTGTTTCAGTGTTGGGTAGTCCATTTATCGAGGAAGGCAATAGGCTATATATTTTTTATTTTCAAAATTAGAGATTCGTAATAAAATTGCTATTTTGTAACACAAGGTGTAAAATCGAAAACCTATTTTTGCGTGCGCTGCAAAAACTATTGACAATAGAACAAAATGATGTGCTACGGGTTTGTAGATCCCATTAAGACCTACAAAAAAGTCCGCAAAAACATATACCGATTTTGTGTTCAAAATAATTATTAAATCGTCTGAAGAAGAAAAAACTACGTTAAATATGTATCGTAATATTAATCTTTATCGAAATTAAGCATTATGTTATCAAGAGTATTTATGTAGAAGTAAAATACTTTTTGTTTCATTTCAATCGGATATTTCGTTTAAAAGTTATCACGTGTGTAAGATGTTAAGAGTAGGTAGTTATGGGTAATAGAGTTTTTTATGAACATAAAATCCTGTAATAATCTTTTTCGAAATATATTTGTTGATGATTGTAGTAAGTATAAGATATTTGAAGAGTATAATAAATACATGACGACCTCCGTGGCCGAGTGGTTTATACGCCGGGTTTCATGGTATCGCCGCCGCCGACTCGAGAGGTCCCGGGTTCGAATCCCGGTGGGGGCAAATGTTTGTGTAATGAATACGAGCATTTGTACTCCAGTCATGGATGTAAAATATATATTTCTATATAAATATACTTATATATGTACAGTATATGTATTCTATCCGTTACCCTAGCATCCCATAACACAAGCCTTACAGTGCTTACTTTGGGGCTAGGCTAATTGGTGTGAGTGTTGGAAATATTTATTTATTTACATTTCTAAAATAACTCTGCTAAAGCTGAAAAGTTTGGTTGTTTGTTATGAACGCGGTAATCTCGGGAAATACTGATCTGATATGAAAACTGTTTAAATATTCAATAGTTCATTTATTGAGGGAGGCTATAATATAGGCAATATTTTATCTCGGTATTTCCACGGAAACGAGAAAAACGCGGGTGAAACCGCGGGGCACGGCTAGTTTATAAAATAAAAACCAGTCCGTTGATCAAGGTAGCCAGCCTTTTGGTACTTAAGTTATTAGATTATAATTCAAATTAGGGATGTTGCGGATGCGGATGCGGATTTTAAGAGGCTCATAAAAACTTAAGTGTGGTTAGGGTAATAAAGACAGTAATATTTATCCATTCTTTATTTAATAATAAAGAAGTGCGTGCATTACTATTACTCATTCATTATTGAAGTTATACTTCTTTAGGCGCGTTATGAAAAAATGAAGAGAGTGAAATTTTAAGATGCGCGCGCATCACTGTAACACAAAATTCTAACAGCATGAAGTTGGTCGCTTTAGCGACCAACTTCATGCGTTACTTTTGTGTTTACCGCACATTAAACTACTTGACCGTCACTGAAAGCTTTATATTGAGATAGCACTTCCGTTTCCCGTCGAATTACCATCAGTTTCCGTACTTTTATTCACCTTGTATCCGGTCCAGTGGCGACACCTGGCAGAAGCGCGGCCATTTTTGTTTTCCTATGTTTTGACAGCGCCATATTAACTCATTGGCGTTCTGACTCCCGTCGAAGCAACACGTCCTCAATCTGAGCGATCGTTGTGAGATTTTAAAGGTTTTATTATTATTAAGTGATAAAACTGTAAGTAAAACTATTTTATTTTAACGGTTTTTGCCGTTCGTGTTATTCCAAATAGGTACTTTACGTGTTAAAAGTGAAGGAACCGTAAGTAAAACTTTTGATAGTTTTTGCAGCCCTTGTGATAAGGGATATTTAAAACAAATATGTTAAATTGAGCAATACGCTTGTTTGAAAAAGTAATAATAAGCCGTGAGTAAAACTAGACGGCAATTCAAGGTGCGTTTTGTTTAAAAAATGAAAGTACCTACATTAAAGTAAATTTTGCAATACTTTACGTCTGTCTTGGTCGTTTATCATAAAAACTATTTTAAGAGTGTTTTCTCTTGGTACTCAATTAATGTTTCCGTATAAGTAAATGTGAAAGTAAATTGGTAAATGTATTACAAAATACTTAATTAAATTGTTTTACAGTTTAGAGTGAATGAATATCGGTCAATATTGACGTTTCAGCCGCCGACTGACTGGCATTATTGGCAAAAACAGCAAGATGTGTCATTATTGTTCTTCGAACAGCTGCAGTAATAATTGGTAGAATTTGTCGTCTTCTGGTATAACGGAAGCGGCATCGCTGCCTCAAGAAAAATAAGCGAGCTTGATATTCCAGCCCTTTTATTAAAAGATTGTTCGAGGGGTAAGTGAACTATGTACAATCTTAATAAGGTATTTCTAATGCCGATATGCCGTTTTCTGAACATGGCCAGCTATCAATATCTAAAGGCTTATGAATAAAAAGTTCTAACATTTTTACTGACCAATACACGTAATAAAAATTCTCATATAAGTCGTGTGACTAAACTAGGATAAAGGAACGCTCTGTTCGAAAGACATTCAACGTTTATTTTAAATGATATGCTGATGTAAATTAAAAATTATAATCATAGTCCAGGCTTTATCAACCTGGAAACAAACAACGAGGTAAAGAAGTATGATGATAATTTATGATATATCACGTTCCTGACATTAATTTTCTTTCAGCAATTGCATATTTCTAAAATAAAAATGAATCATTGCGGGAAGGCACCTGCTCAGTTAATTTTAATAACGAAAGTGATAAGATAACAGAATCGTTTCTTAGGTCTTTTACAAATAGCACAAAGCTAAAAAGTAAAAACTAAAGCACTGCTTAAGAAGTTAGTGATCTCTGTGATGAAGCACCACTTAATAAGATACCATCTATGAGGTTGTTTTTCTCGTATTAAGTAAGTATTTGTCATGGATTTAAGTGATTGACATTTCATCAACCTAATGAGCAACTCGCGCAGAGGCAAGTGATATTCATAAGCTTCATCTCATGAAGCCCAAGGCGTGTCAGGACATGCCCTCCCATGGCGTACCTACACATATGAGTACCGGTGGCAAATCACCCTCGCGGGGTGCATATTATATATAATTTGTTTCCACTACGTGGAATCTTATTAAATGCCTCTAATGCCTTGCCTACATATACGAGTACCGGTGGCAAATCACCCTCGCGGGGTGAATATTATGTACAATTAGTTTCCACTACGTGGAACCTTATGAAATGCCTCTAATGCCTTGCCTACATATACGAGTACCGGTAGTAAACCACCTTCGCGGCGTGCATATTACCAAAACTCTGATGACCGCCCCTCGCGGGGGCATATTATGTATAATTTGCTTCCTCCGTATGGAACTCATTATGAATAAGGACTTGCCTTCCATGGCTTGCCTACACATACAAGTATCAGTAACAAAACATCGTTGATAGAGAAATATCCTCATCAATCTTATAATCGCCCTTGTGGGGTCATATCACACATAATATATTATTTCCATTACGTGAATATCAATATATGTTCTCCTTAGAACATGTTAGCCTGTGGAGTTCGTACTATTATGTAAGCACCGGTAACATACGACACTCAAGTGGAGCAAATTATGCATAATTTAACATGTAGTCTATTCGTGATTCATAATTTATTTTTGTGACCATGGGGTCTGTAAATGATTAAAGGATTCGAAACATTAAAAATAAGTAAATTGAAAATATAATAAATGTCGCTTGACATAATTCATTACTTCCATCGCGTGGAAATCCATACATCAACGCAACGCAACATACCCCAACCCAACATACATAAGTATCGGCTATAAACTACCCTCTTAATAGACTATAAAGATCGAACATCGAATGTTGACGTACCCCGTTGGGAAGTGCAAAGTGGTTTTTAAGGTGTCGCATACTCTGAGGTCTTGGGTTCACCCCGGTGGGGCAAATCATTGTATGATAAAAACGAGTATCTGTGCCTAAGTTTTGGTTGTTAACAAATATGAATTCAAAATCATACTAATCTATGCATCATCATTATGCATTTCTAGGCGTTAGCCCATAACTCAAGCCTTTCAATGCCCATTATAAGGCTAGGCTAATTGGTGTGAAGTGTTGACTCGATCACTACGGTTGTTCTACCGTAATATATATATAATACATTTCAAAAGAAAAAGGAATATCGAAACAATTAATGTTTGAAAAAATTTAGTGCAGGTAAGTTGATAAATTGGGAGCTCCATAAATAATTCTTAAATAAATTTAATGGTATCGCATGCCATTCAGAAGCTTGTTTATCTAAATCCAATATATATCAAACTCCAATCTCAAGTGCAGTACACTATAAATATGTAAAGAATTCTAAGTTTTCTACAATTTAAGGACTATCTGCCAGATAAATAGATGATAACATATTTTCTCTTGAAAATAACAAAAGTAAACCAAATGGGTTGCTCACTCTTTTGATCGCGTAATGAGAGAAACTTGCAATATTAGAAATGTCGTGTATGTGGTGTCTGAGGTGGCCAACATGATCATTTTGATATATAAGTGGTGCTATGTACTGAAGAAAGATTGCACGATCTACCTAATTCTTGAAAGGTTTTGAAGATCATTGTATGCAATTATCCACTTTATGTTATTTTAGTAAAAATTACTGAAAACTGTTCTTAATATTAAACTTACGCTTTCTAAGCTTGCCACGA